GGGGGGGGGGGCATGCGTGCGGCAGTGAGAGTGAGAGTGAGAGTGAGAGGGAGAGTGAGAGTGAGAATGAGAGTGAGAATGAGAGTGAGAATGAGAGTAAGAGTGAGAGTGAGAGTGAGAATGAGAGTGAGAGAGGATCAAGGACAGGGGCGGTAGTTTCGCAGAGGGCTAGCGGCGGCGTGTTTCGCTGTTCGTCGTTCTTGTCGCGTATGTTTCATTCGGAGTTCTTTTTCAGCAACGATTGGGTTGAGATGTCTTGTCTCACCGTCCGTTGGTGGTTGTTCCAGGAGACCTGGTGTCCCAAAGTTGCCATCGGCAAACGACAAAAGATTTTGGGTAAATGATTGGCAAGTAACAATTTTGTTACATATTTTGACGTATTCGCTCTCGCCACCATGACAGGTGCCGGAGCCGAATCGGATGGCCTCGAGCTTCAAGGTCGAGATGCATACCAACAGTCAAGTCTGGGAGGTGTGAAAAGTAAAAGTAGGAACTTGCGTGAGGCACCTACCAAATTGCCGCGTTGCCACCCTCGGTGTTTTCAACCCGCCCCCCGAAGAAGCACAACACGCCTCTGTGCGGCAAGTGTGTTTTGAGGATATGCTTCAAGTCTCGACTGGTCCTCCGGGCTCCGGACTGTCTTGAACCATCGTTCATTTTCAGTGAGCCATCATGCACGAGGTAATGTTTGATCATTTCCATGTCTTCCGAGAACACGGGTGTGCGTTGTACTTTTTTTCTGCCGCTCTCTTGATCGCTCCCGTGTCTTGGCGAGAATATGGATGTACGTTATGTAGATTCTATGGATCTTTGATCACTTTATTTCTTGGGGAGATATTCGCGCGAGAATTGTAGCTGTTTCGCAGTTTTTCTGCTCTGTCTGCGGTAGAGGTACCAGGCGCTCAAAGTTGCATCCCACGGCGCCCCCTTACATCTACCAACCGTTGTTACGCCGCAACTATTCCAAGGTCCGTCGAAAGGTGGCCCACAGAGGCAAGATGCCCGCGGAAGATGTCGAGCTGAAGGTCATGAGCGGCGAAACTGGTAACGGTTCGAGGAACGGCGGTTACGCCGGCGGCACTGAACGACGAAGCGTGAAAGCGTTGGATCGGAGCAACTCCAGGCGGCTGGGAGACCTGGGCTTGCGGTGAGGATTGATTTGATTTTCTGTTGATGAGATCAAGGGGACTACTGTAGGTGCTGTTTGTTGGCTGGTCGGAAGAGGAAGAAATGGACTACGCTGGGTACGTAGGGCATAAGGCGAGAGGGGGAAGATGGGTAGACGGGTGTGGCTAGAGGTCGGGGGTGTTTGTCTCTTTTCTTGCGTGGCACCGAGTTAAGGGGACGCGCAGCCGCGCATGCTTGCTCCAAGGTAGCTCCTGACGCGATGGCGATGGCGATGGTACGCATGGCAGCGATTGTTTTGGTGTGATGAAGAGGGCCCAAGGAATACGGGAATACGGGTATCTTGATTAACCCACCCCTACTTCGTCTTGTAACTGTCACGGGTCTTGACGCTGTGATGATGGTGATGATGATTGTGACACTGATGATGACGATGGTGATGGTGATGGTGATGACGACGATGATGCAACCACAGGAAGGACGACGTGTGGGTAGTCTCGAGGAGGACGGGGCCAGCGGTGGGGCGTTCACCCCTCCTCGACGCCTCCGGGAGACTCATTCCGAAGGCTCGGGCTATCTTCGAGCAGTGGTTCCACAAGTTCGAGGTACGGTACAGAACAGAGAAGGTGACCGGTGTGTTTTTTTTTTCAAGTGTCTGTGGAGCCTCTGCTGTGTGCGTGTGTTTCGTTTATGGTGTTTGTGGAGATAGCTGCCAGCAGGGAGAGGTCCCTAGTTCCTAGTACAGCGGTACTTGCGGTATGAATCATCGCGCCTTCGTTCCACGAGAAAGATAGGTGGAAGCACCGACATCGGGGAGACTCAGAATTCAGGGAGTGGTTCCTGTTTTTGGCTTGTTCTCCGTAGATTGGCGGTGGTTGCGGTGGTGGTGCATGTCTTGCTTCGAGTGCTTCGAGTGCTTCGAGTGCTTCGAGTGTTTGGTGACCGGAAAAAGCAGTCTCGGGCGGTTGCATTGCAAGAGCATTTCTGTAGTATTTGCCCGCACCCGTGGTCGGCTTGCTCGGTTCCCTTCGGCAATGGCGAAGTGCTCTCGTTGGCCGAGAGGGAGGGGGGGGGGGGGGGGGGG